CTAACTGAAGTTTTGCTCATGTTCCTTCGTTAGAAAATCAATTAACGTGTTTGTTATCACAAGATTACTTATGCAATTTAGAGATCCTCTTTTGATTAAGAAACCAAAAGAGATATTTAAAGAGAGGAAACTAGAGAGATCCTTGAAGTTTGAAGGTTCATTATGGTGAACCGATGCACTTAGCATTTATGTCTTCTTCAAGCCAAAACACTGAGATAGATATAAAGCCACACCAAACATTTATTGATCTTTGCCTTCAAAATTCGTCGAAATTCACTAATTAGATTGATCTTTTCTACACAGCATATAATTGTAATTACACATGCAATTCGAAATTCAAGTTACTTGTATTAAAAGAATTTTGCTAGTTCATCTATGATGATACGTAAATCAAAGAGTGCATGGGTTAGAAAAGTTATGGCATGGTATCAGTGAATGTCGCTCGTTTTGTGGAGTTCTAAACCTTGAGGTGGTTCGGAATTTTATTGCAGCCAACTTTGATCCTAATGGGGGGGGGGGGGGGGGGGGACGGGGATAAAATCAGGCTTTTCCAATAGAACTGGCTCACAGATTAAAAGGGTGTGATCCCTTTTCCCTCTTGCATGTTGCAATTTGATTAACTTCCAGTGCGTTTAGGAAAACATTAGTATAAAGGAGTGAAAGAGTGCCTGAAATTTGCAATGGCGAAAGTGTATGGACATTATTTGTGCAGACATTTGAGAGAGAATGCTGAGCTGATAATCCTTGATGGAGCAGGGCATTCATGGGGTTATGAAAAAATCTAAGGAGTTATATAAGCACCTAAAAACCTTTCTCATAGGCTGAATCAACCAACCGACTTTAGGCACTTCAATCCTTCCTCTTCAACTCACAGAAGAAAATTTGTCGTTCAACTCAATTTTCGAGGCTAAAAATGTAGAGGAAAGCCTCTAATCAATTGAATTTATAGGTACACTTTGTTTCCCAGAATAAATAACTGACAATGATGGTTAATAATTCTTTCAACAATGTTCCATTCATGATGTATCTTTACTCAAGCTATTGTAGATCATACAAATTCCACTTGTGGAAGGAAGACGGGAAAATTAAACCATGTTCATGGCTGGCCACTAAATCCTTTGTTAATGACTTCTAATCAACTACTACTATTTCAAAGATACCATAAGACCACTAAAAATTCAGCTAAACACATACCATTCTGGGTAAACGATGTCATGGCCCTCAAATGACCTAATCAGCCTAACTTCAAGGGTGCCTATTATGAAAAGGACCATATGCCCAAATTGTTTCACATCCTAAATTATCTAAGTAAAAGTATATTGAGACAAGAAAAAAAGAAAAAAAAAAGAATAGATAAACTATGCTCCCTTTCTTTTCAAAATATTCAATCGGTAAGCACTAATCAAACTGAATAGTCTCAAAAGCATAACTCAATCATATAATGATCACAGAGAATAGCGAAAAAAGAAAGGGAGAAGAAGCGGTGGTCTAGTACTCTGGTCGCAGACTCAAATTTTGGTTTTTGGAGAAGGGTCGGTAGTAGTGGTTTTCGACAGAGAATGATAGAGACTGAAGTTTGAGAGTCTGAGAGTGTGGACTTAGGGTTTAGTTCTTTTAGGAATTTTATTTTTAAAATTTTTAACGGGATCAAATTGACTGCAATGCCCAAGAAACTAGCTGTACTACAAAAGTTAAGGGTAGAAATTTCTCAATAAGTTCTGAACACTTATGTGTTTTAAGTCATATAAATTTAATTATTTAATATTTACACCAGCGCTCGATAGCACACTATATTCCTACTTGCACTCGACTCATTAAAACAATCGAACATGTTTGAAATTGATTCAAACATGATCAAAGTCAAAACAAGACGATCCATTGATCAAGCAGCTCCATATGTGCACCCGAGTTGCTTGATTCGCATACATTCCTATCGCAAAATCATAGTAATTGAACCTTCAACATCGAGTATAGGATTGGCCTTTGTTATTCACCTAATGCTTAAGTACATAGCCTGACAGAGCCGGCATTCTTCCAATCACCTTGATGAACATCAATGCCATGGACTTTCTCGGAACCCAGATTTGGAAGTTGGTGTGCTTTACAACCAAAGCTATTGAAGAACTCATCAGGATCAGACTTGGATCTTTATCTCAGCCTCCAACTTTTCTGCTGTATTAGCCATAGTTTTTTCTAGCTCTACTAGTAAAAAAGCTACTGATTTTCAGCTCACCTTCACCTAGTAGAATGCAAATGCTAACGTATATGTACCTTAACCATCGGACCACCGCTTATATAGGATCAGTTCCATTTTTCCGTACATTTGTGATGGTTTGTACTAATATCTTTGCTTTTTATCAATTGTGTTTTAGGTTTATGTAGTTATACCGCTCATACCTATGCTTAAATTTCAATATACTAATTGGGCTTAAGTAGCAAAGTTTTGAAATTTAATTTAAAAAGAAAAAAAAAAAAAAAAAGAAAACCTGGCTACATTATTTTTGGATTAGGTCAGGAAATTTGCCTTGCTATTCTTCTTCATCATAGTCAAGACAAAATTTCTGTTGTTAGACTATTACCAAGATTAGGTTAATTATCTATGTCCTTTGATGTGAGGCAACATGTCCCAGATTAAAATTAAGGGGCAGATAAAATGTCATATTAATCCAAGAAAACCCAACTGCAACCAGAACTAGATTTCATGCCATCACCTAAGACGAGTGGGTTAGAAAGATTTGTTTGCTTGATATGTGATAATACAGGCTTCGTTAATAAGTTATTAATGCGAATATGCAAAACAAATGGTTACATTATAGATTCCTGTGCTTTGTGTTAAAGCTTTTTTTTTTTTTTTGGCAACAAATTTTTGGACTGCACGGATCATTCCTTGCTGCTTTTAGATTTCAAAACAGAAGCTACAAAGTACAGAACATTTTCAGTTTTAGAAATGCACCTCGGTTTTTCAAAAGGTGCATTGACTACTGTAAAGAATAGTTTCAGCTCCATGAGATCGATGCCAGTAAGATAGTTAAATCAGCAGTGATAAATGTTATGCAATGAACCACTGTTATATATAGGAAGCATGCTGCGATAATGATACCCCATGAGGAAAAACAGAAACCCTAATAATCATAGCGATGATAGTAACACTAAACCTAGAGTTATGAACTAGTTCTTCGAGTTAATTAAGAATTTCTTGGTCACATCTTTGTAGTCAAGTCATCCAAACAAAATTGTATTCCCTCGTTTATCCCAATTGTACCAAGAGACCATTATTTGGCGAAAAAGACAACAGAGAAAACATGTCAGACATAATCATATAATCAGTGCTCCCATAGCCAAAATGCGCAGGATTAGATGTAGTTGGGTATTAATGGAGCAAATTTCTTGACGTCTTCACTTGAGGAGAAGACGACAAACTGAATTTAACTCAAAAAATAATAATAAAATTGCGTTTAAAGGAGCTGCAATGAATTTAGTTAGGAATATGGAATTAACCTATCTGGAGAAAGATGGACAACATTAAGCAAACAACATGCGTTTGAAAAAGACTAGCATTGATGAAAGGGTTAAATGCAAAATACCCCCCACAAACTATATACCTAGTTGCAGTTTACCCCCTAAACTATAATAATAGACATTTTGCCTCCTTGAATGATATGTTTGGACAAATCTACCCCTTTTATTTTAAGCATTGTTATTTTTCTTTTTTCCCTATCATTTTCTTTTTAAATTCTTCCTTTTTTTTCTTTAAACATTGTTTAAATAAGTAGACTAGATTAGTCAAAATTTGTTTATTTCTTAATTTCATATGTCAATATTTTATAAAAAAAAAATCTATGGAATACAAGATTTTTTTTCCAAATGTTGAAGTCAATGTCATTTATGAAATTGAACTTTTCAAATATATAATAACAAAATAGAGAAATTGATTAATCAATTATTAGTAGTATCAATAACCAAAAAAATGAACTACTATTGTTGTTTATTCTTATTTTTTATTTCACTACAAATAACAATTGCTAACTTTTCTTTTTTATGTGATATATAATATGTTACTTTTATTATAAGTAGTTGAGTAACTGTGAACTCTTAATTAGTTTATTGGCACTTAAATTGTTGAATTACTAGATTAATACACTTTACAATATAAGCTACATATATTTTGTAATAACAAAGAGTTTATGACAAATTATTAAGAATGAATTTAACAAATAAACAAATTAAAAAAGCAGTTTAAAAAATATTAAAATTTTTTATGTAAGTCTTTTCACATCGGAGAGAGGCATTGGCTAGTTTCACGAAAGAAGGAGAAACAAAAAAAAAATGAAAAAATGAAAAAAGCTAATAGAGAAAAAAAGAAAGAAAGGATTTAAGATAGTAGGGGTAATATTGTCCAAACATATCATTTAAGGGGGAAAAATGACTATTATTATAATTTATGGGGTAAACTGCAACTGGGTATATAGTTTATGGGGAGTTTTTTGCATTTAACCCTTGATGAAAAGACTAATAAAGTCAACAGTATGCCCACACAAAATTCAATTTCCAAGTCACCATTCCAACCACTTCTTTGACTAATCCTAAACTTGGAGGTTGAGCTCCATAAAAAAGTTTATTCAAAGGCAAAACGATTTGGGAATTGCAATGGGAAGCAAGTCGTTAAATGAAGTAATCAAACATCACTTAGTAAAGGCTTACTAAACTAGTTAATAAAGATGTTGTTGGGCTGCTGTATTCACCATGAATTGATTTAAAGATGAAAGTTCAGGATCTTTAACATGGAATATGGTGATTTTTCTCCAATTCTTCCTGGCTTTCTCTTTCTCTTTTATTCAGGTCTCCCCGGCAGGAAAACAGATACACATATATATATACACACACAAAAAGAGAGAGAAAACATACGAGATCCTTACAAAATTTGAAGGTTCATTATCGTGAACCAGTGCACTAAGCATTTATATCTTCATCAAGCCAAAAAAAAAAAAAGAAAGTTAAGATAGATATAAAGCCACACGAAACATTCATTTTGTTTTTCATCATTACACGTAGAATCGTTAACACATACAAATTACAACCAAGCACTAACAGCAGTAGAATTGCTAACACTTATACAAATTACAACCAATCACTAGCAGGAGTAGAATTGCTAACACTTATACAAACACTTGTACAAATTACAACCAATCACTAGCAGGAGTAGAATTGCTAACACTTATACAAATTACAACCAAGCACTAACAGGAGTAGAATTGCTAACACTTATACAAATTACAACCAATCACTAGCAGGAGTAGAATTGCTAACACTTATACAAACACTTATACAAATTACAACCAATCACTAGCAGGAGTAGAATTGCTAACACTTATACAAATTACAACCAATCACTAGCAGGAGTAGAATTGCTAACACTTATACAAATTACAACCAATCACTAGCAGGAGTAGAATTGCTAACACTTATACAAATTACAATCAAGCACTAACAGGAGAGCAAATTTTTGGAGGCTTCACTAAGCCCAGACAATGGGGTTCATTAAAGATTCTCTTATATTAACTTATAGATGTATTATTTATTTTCTGCTTTGAGAAGTGAAGCATCCACATCTTTTGCAGCATGAATTAGCCATTGGAGGTAATGAATTGGAGGACGCCCATTCTCACTGATGTTCTCATATTCAATACCCCATTTGGCAAAGTTTGAGTCACCTTTTGAGATAACCTGGAACTTAGCGTTATAGGTCTTGTATTGTTCCAAAATGTGCCCTTCAATTACTTCGTAAGTGATTGTCCTGTTCTCCTCATCCACTCCAATCCTCTCTTTTACAGTTTCAACTTTCCCATCTGTATAAATTTTCACCAAGGTAGATATTAAACAAAGTAATCCAGCAAAGTTAAAAGCAGTTTTTGGATCTTTTCCAGTACTAAAATTGTTTCTTAATCGATGAAGACGAAAGATACGTCAAGTGCAGGGTTGGCCTTTGTTACTCACCTATAGCATAAGTCAATAGCTTGACAGAGCCTGTAGTCTTCCAATCACCTTCATGAACATCAATGCCATGCACTTTATCAGAGCAAAGACTTGGAAGCTGGTGTGCTTTGCCAGCAAAGGTGTGGAAGTACTCATCAGGATCAAACTTGATCCTTATCTCAGCCTCCAATGTTTCTGCAGTATTAGCCATAGTTCCTTCTAGCTCTACTAGTCACAAAACCACTGATCAGCTCACCTTGATCTAGTAGAATGCAAATGCTATCGTGTATGGACCTTAACCATCGGACCAACATTTATATAGGGCCAGTTCCAATTTTCCGTACATCTGTGGTAGTTGGACTATTATCTTCAATCTCTGTCAATTATCTTTTAAATTTATGCAGTTATACCATCATACCCCATATTTTCAAAATTAGACATCTCAAATTTGAATGCGCTTAAATTTGTCTTGCCATTTCTCTTTTTGATAGTCGAGAAAATTTTGTATCATCTGGAACAACTTTTAATAGGATTAGATATATTATCTCTGATATAAGAATAGGAGGTAACATGTCACAGATTCAAGCTCAGAGGAAGATAAGTGTAGACGTATAGTAATTGGCGAAAACTCATTGTACCGTATACTTCATTATAGACAAAATTCTGTCCTTTCACCACATATTTGCGAAATGAAAGCCCTCAAAAAAAAAAAAAAGTGATCTAGTGGCTTAATTTTATGATCACACCTATTCTTTTCGGCAAATAGGCCCCAATTCATCAATCAAACTTTAGTCACAGGTCTTATTTTACAGATCAACCATGAGACAAAAAGCAAGACTTGGTACAATCTCATGACCAATCGCTCGAAGTTCATCAAACACAATTTCGACAACAATGAAAGCAGTAGGTACCCATTGGCCATTTCGCCTCATCCTTCATGTAAAACTTTAGTCAAGAAAAAAGCTGGAGTAACATCAATCGAGCTGTTTACCTCATCGGACCTCCTTCTTCATAAATGCCAATCCATCCACCATCTGAATGAGACATTACATTACTTTGCTCATAATGCGCTCCCCACTCTAGAAATTAATATTTGACCATTTCTTCGCAATATTGCTAATTATAGTTTAGCAAAATTGCTTAGCTACAATGTTGTCCTCCAGCACCAAAAAGCATCTATAACCCCCAAATTTAGTTCTTTTTCTTTTTTTTTTTCTATCTATGAAGTATCTCTTTTTCCGACAAATAGACAACAAGGTTTTAAATTTCTTTTCTCAAGTTGGAGGGCCCAATTGACTGACAGGGATTGAACCACTGTCAGACCAAATGGATGCACTACACATCCGTATGAATTTAAGCAATTTAAAGTGGCAAATCACATACAGTAGCAAGTAGTAAAAGGTAAAATTTGAACTCTTGACCTCCTACCCCACCAAATCTTAAAGAATATGGTAGTGACCAATAGCCCAAATGTCTGTTGGTTTATTTCTATCTCAGTAGTTGTTCACCCAATATTCTAAGTACAGATTTCTCGGCCCTTTTCATGTTAAAATGAAAAAGAAAAAAAAAACAGTAGGAAGTGCTTTGTCTGTTATTATTAAGGATATAATTGTTAGCTAATCTTCTTGATAGTAAAAACTTTACTTTTTCTAGTATATATAAACATCGAATGCAGGTTGTGTTTATCAACATACTACTCTTTTATTCTTCTATTTCTCTAAAATTTAAAAAAAAAACATATGTTTATTTGAACCAAATGCGCAAGCTATATCGCGTATTTTGCCTATACAAACAATTGAAGTATCATAAAGTACGCTTGCGGGGAACTCTAAGGAGTTATTCATCGTAGAAAAGTTGTAAAATAAAAATTTATTGAAATATAAAGAAAAGCTCTTAATTTTTATCCTAAAACAACTTTATCATTCCAAACCCTTGGAGTGAACCAAAATATGTTCTCTCTAATATAAGAAGGATCTAAAATTCTGCATTCACTGAAAAGTTTATGCAACAATTTTGTTACTAAAAAGTGTAAAATGATCTCAATTAATTAAGCAATGCGTCACTCGTGATTTCAATTTGAAGTTGAAATTTCAATGCATCACTCATTAAGCAATACATAGTTGAAATTTGAAGTTGGCTACAATGAATTACTTTCACTCAATTATCACACACACACACAAAGAGATAATCATATATATGCTGGCTATTAGATAAAAATTAATTAGTTGGGCTGGCAGCCTTTGATGACTATCAATAGAAGATACACTATTAGTGGATACGCTCCCACAAGCTGAAGTCAAGTCAGTCACAATAAAGACGAAGCCTGTCCCTAAAGTTTTAATCAAAACACGTTTCATCCTTATAGTTCTATAATTTTGATCAATTTCATCCCTAAAGTTTCATGTAAACACATTTTATCCTCATAGTTTCATAAAATTAACCAATTGAGGACAATTGAATAATTGTTAACCAATTTGGACCAAGTATCATTACATAACTAGCATTTCCCATTGATAATTGTATTAATACTTAATTCGGTTATTGATTAAATTATATAAATAACAATGAGTGTGTTCGGATAAAAGATTATTACTTTTAAATTTGTGATATAATATATGTGAAATAAAAAAAAAATTAAATGATAGATAGACAATTTGAAAAACATGTATATAATGCTACGAAACAAAATTTTAGAAACAAATGGCTATCGAAACAGTTCTTTCTTTCACGTTAATATTTTTCTTCAATTGATTGCAGTGGGATTGTTTGAAAGATTTATCCAATTGGCTATAATGGTGTTATTTCTTCTCCATGACTTCGTTTCCTCTCAATCTTTTGAGAAAAATCCACTTTTCGTCCTTCCACTTTGAGTTAGAGATACATTTCGTCTCCAAACTTTTAGACACACTGCATTTAGTATATGAATTAATTATTTTTTGCCACTTTTAGTCCAAAAACAGTAAATTACTTAATTTGGAGGAAAAAAGTCATGTGTTTGGCACGTGACCGTTAAGTAAAATCAATTTCTCAGTCAAAATTAATAGTCACGTCAGCCTTCTCCATCCAAATTGAATATTTTACAGTTTTTGGACGAAATGTGGTCCAAAATAATTAATTCATATACTAAATGTGGTATGTCTAAAATTTTGAGGATGAAATGTGTTCCTATCTTAAAGTTCAAGGACGAAAAGTGGATTTTTTCCCAATCTTTTTGTTCAATTTGTGATTAAAAAGAGAATAATGGTGGTTGAAAATTTCTTAGTTTTTTTTAAATAAGAAAGTGAATTAAAAAATAATTTTTGAGATTTTTTGTTGATCCAATATTTTCTGAATTTTACTAACATGCATGCTATGGTCAAGTGATGATATTCCATTCAAATTGCCTGTCAATTCATCAATTATCCTTAATTAGTCAAATTTATGAACTTATGAGGATGGAATGTGTTTACATGAAACGTTAAGAATGAAATTGGTCAAAATTATAAAATTATAATGATAAAATGTGTTTTGACTGAAATTTTAGGGACAAAATTGCCCAACACCTCAAACAATGAGGATGAAAAGTGCATTTTTCCCTAAAAATAAAATGAACCTTCGTTCTACCCCTTATGTTTTTGGGCTACAGTCCTTTTTAGTTAGTACTATGTTGATATTCAAGATAACCGAACGTATATAGCTAGACATGTTGCTTTTGAGGAATCTAGTTTTCCCCATTCCTTGGTCCACCACCACGTCAAAAACAAACCAATTCAATCCACCTTGACTTGTTCTACCAATTCATGTTTTCAAATTCAATGGATCCTACATACATTTTTTATCACAAACCGACTACTACTCTAACGGATACCTTTATGGTGAGAACGGGTTGACCGTGCCTATGGTAGGAAGGCCTCCAGAGGCCGACACGTGTTGCAGGTGGATGGATTGCAGACGGAGACGTTTAGCCGTGGAATCGCGCGTGGAGATGCAACGTTAACATGTTGTCCGCTGCTGCAAGTTAACAGCAGAGGTTCGTACAGCCGTTTGCGTTTTCCAACGCAGTTTGGTGGGCCGGGGCAGTGTAATTGCAACTCAGAACCACTGCTCATTTATACATTTGCAAATCTACCCGTTAGCAAGGGGAAAATGCTGCCAAGGCCCTGGGCAAAAAATTATGCGTAAAGAACGAACCGAAGTTTGAACAAATAATAAATGTAAACCGCGCATGCGAGCGGGATAATAACTTGGAAGAAGGAAAAGCAGAGGAGAGGTATCCGTACTACTCCCTCCATCGTACTTTGATAGTCCAATTTTGCTCTTGCGTCTGTCCCAAATTCTAGTACATTTTTCAATTGAATTGAAAAATTTAGTTGTATTTAAATTTTCGTAAAATAGCCTTATTAAATATAAGTTGTTGTTACTATATACCCACTTTATATAATGAGAGTTGATTCTTTTTTTACCATTAATTGAAGTTTCCATAAAGTTGTAATGTAATTAATGTGATGGTATTTTAGGAAAAAAGTTACTTAAATTGATTGTTCGAACAAAATTAACTGCTTTTTCTTAGACCGTGCGAAAAACAAATTTGAACAGTAAATGTGGGACGGAGGGTGTAGTTTCGAGACAACGGCTCCAAACACTACCTTTATGGTAGGAAACCTTTGAGCAATCGTAACGTAGGCAGACCCGTAACAGGTGTATTTGTAAAATGAGGAGTTGACGCTCTGTTATCTTGCAGTGGTAACACCCGTGCAGATAAACAAAACAAGACGTATGCGGATGCAGGCCTTTTTCCCCTCCAATTGCTGCGTTTAATGTGCAGTGTTTCCCCACTGCTTTAATACATTTTTAAAAATTGTGAAACTATAGTTTTGTAATAAAATTAATAATAACATACCAACAACAAATACCCATGACATAAATATACTAAGCAATTACAAAAATATTTATGATTATGCACATGTAGTTTAGAATTTGCTCCCAAACACCGTGGAACTAAATTTTTCATTAAATTTGAAGACAGTACGGAAAAAAGACTGATTAATGAAAAACGATGTTAAAAAATTTTGAATTCACCGTCACAAAACATGAATTGGTGGGCAATACCAAAAAGCAGGATACTTTAATCATATAATGAAGCAAAGTCATAAATTTGAAGGCAAAGTTTTCATTAATAAAAATGCCAACTCTTCACCGCTTTGTTATCAGGCGTCCGATGTATGAGGAAAGTGGCAATAATTAATGTGGTAATTTATTCGGTTTATATAAGTTTTAAAATTCTTTTTGAGTTTCGACAAAAAAAAAATGAAAAA